TCTCGTTTTTCTGAGTCTCCTAAGATAGTAGTCGAGGCCATTTTTTACAGTCTTTGAGGTAGCCAAGCTAAAGGTTCATGAGGGGCAGATGACTGATTGAAAAAAGAGTTTTGGGAGGGAGATCAAAGGGTACTTCGCTTATGACCCGTTTTTAAGACGTTTTATCACTAACCACTGCGCCATCTCGTCTCATCTTTACAAAGGTTCACAAGATTGAACAGTTATCAGCGTATAAGTGTAAATGTTTGTGGTGACAAACGTTCCAATGAGATTTTTTCTATAGCTTCAGTTGCATAGGAAAATGTAGCCCCGTTGTGCTCCGATATTTACGGTTTGTTGAGAAACCGCTGCTTTTGCTTTCTCTTATATGACATTCTTTTGTGCTCTGACTCTCGCTGTTGGCTTAATAGCTGTTTGCTTCATGGGATGGCTAGATCACGCAGCAGACTTACAAGGCTCTGCTTTGGAAAAGAAAAACTTTCGAATTGGAGCTGAATCGACAAGCTGATGTGAATGAAGAAACGATGAGCTTTTTCTGCTTGGTTAGAAAAGGAATGATCCCAAGTGAGTATCTAGGAAATTTCAGGTGCAATTTGAGTAATTTTCGTTTACGTCAAGTGTAAGTACCTTGAGAATCCATATTTTGTGAATGGAAAAATTCCTCGTTGACTTCTCAGTGTTAAGACCCTGATTACGGCACGGTAAAAAGACAATGTCCCTCAAAAATTCGACCTCATACGAGGGTTTGAACCACTTGAACCATTATCATAACACTGCGAAGGGGCAATAAAAACATAAGAAATCTTGGAAAGATGTAAGTACAATGGTTTTCAGCTTAACTGAGTTCAGAGAGCGAGGTTGCTTACCCAACCAACCCGTCAATGGTTGGTGGGCTGATAGTCACAGTAGAAAGATAATGAAGAGAGAGAGTGTGGAGTAAGCGGTGTTTTCGGTGGTGTAGTAGTTACAGTTGTCCCCGGTATGCATGGTATACGGGTTCAACTCCCTCCAGAGGTCGAATTTTGCTTAACATTCATATCTCTTAGGAATATCTTGAAAAGTCTTTTCAGATGTAAATCTTTGTAATTTTTTCATAGTATAAGCTCTACATCTTCTATGGACAATTTTAGAAGACTCCAAAAATTTGAAGGTGATCTTGATGAGTGAAATTATTAAAAAATTCGCTGAAATCATATCCATTTTCTTCCACAAATCTTCCCTTTTCTTTACTTACTCTAAGGCTTGCAATTTTTGTAGTAAAATTAAAGTACTTCACTGGTGAGTCCCAATAAGACAAAACAAGTACCTGTATACCACTAGACTTAACAGGTCAAAACATGTTAAATCCTAAAATCAAAGCTCAACTTTGAATTGTTGCAAAGCTATGAACCTACGCTTTGAAGTATTTGTGCGAATTCTTATTTATAAGAGATTGACAAAAACGGATGCGTTTAATGAATTTATTATCAGACTATTCCATTCTCATTGTCGAAAAGTCTTTTGAGCCCTTTTTTGGAGATGACGAAGGCTACATACAGATCATATCACCACCCGACATTGATAATCTGGGAGCCTTATTAGTTAGATTGGCCGACATAGGTTCCCCTAGTAGGATCTCTACAGTGATTCGCTTCTTCATCGACATTGCGCTTCACTCCTGCAATATCATAAATATGTAAGCCTCTTGACTGAATCACCAACCTCCTCCGATTGGCAGCTATTATCAGACATCAGTAACAGATTTCAATCAACTTGAAACGTAACGGTTACTAAACAAATGGGTTATTACGAGGCAGTGCATTTCATATAAAGTTATAAGAGTCATGGAGAACATTGATTATGAGTAGCATATCTTGTACCTTCGCTTCTTGACGGGAGCTCGCATTGCACATTCGTAATCTTTATAATTGATAGTTCGCTTGAAGAGCAAATATGTAACAAATAATATGGCCTTGCTGTTCATGATTTCTTCGCATTTCTGCGCCACTATCACATCGCGTTCTTTCTTTTCCCTTAATTTTTTTTTGATTTTGCGACTTTTATCGATTCCTCTTTCTGAAGTATCCTTGACAGTCTATTACCGCGTTTGCTTCGAATATTTTCTTAAGATCACGCTTTCTTTGTTCTCCTCACTACAACTTCGATGCTCTTAAACGTTCCCCAAGTCTCTCGTTTCTTCCTGCTCAACTCTGGAACTAGGTCGCTTCATCATACTGATTTTACGACCTAAATAGACGTAACTGGAGCATTCGGAGATTTTCGTTCCGTTGAGCGTAAATGAAGCCTCTTACTATGCCCACTGGAAAAGGGGCTCGACAGGGCGATACGATGTCGCCAAAACTGTTTATCGCCGCACTGCAGTGGATAGTGAAATCGCTCGATTGAGACAAGAAGAGCATACGAACTGATGTAAAATTCCTGTCAAACTTTCGTTTTTGCGGATGAGATTGTCTTGTTCCCAAAGACGGTGCTCAAAGACTCAATGAAAGGGGGAAAAAGATCGGACTGCGCATCTATCACATAAAAGCCCAATTCATGAAAAACCAAATGCAATGAAGAACATATCAGACTGAATGGACCTTTGATCACGAAGACCTCCTCGTACGTGTATCGTGATCGTTCACTGAATATGGAGAACAACATGGAGGAGGGACTCGAAGAAGAAGGAAAGCAGCCGCGGGTAGGATTGGGGCCTCTCAAAGAAGCCACCTACCAAATAGCGGACACTGATTCACGCGCTAACCTTTTCGATTCAACAGTCCTGCCAGCACTCTGTTATGTAGCGGAAACGTGGGCTAGTATTCGACCACGTCAAGACTACTGCGAACGTCTCACAGAGCACTTGAACGATCTCTTCTGAAAATCAGTCGGCAGTCACATCGCCTAGCCGGCTTGCGCAGCTCGTATCTCAAAAATTTGTCTCATTTTTGTGATCCAGAAGAATTCACATCGATAGCGAAGCATAGATGGACCGATCATATACTAAGAAGATAGGACGACAGATGGTGGAAACGGACTGTAGAGTGTGGGCCACGAGAGTACACCCGTCCCATATAGGATGAGCGCCTACACGATGGGCTGATGTGTTCATTAGAAGAATTGAAACAGCTGTATTCATATCTGTAATCGCACCAGCTGTATTCATACCTATCGATATTCTACAGATCACGGTATGAGAACTCGCGCCAGTGCTCGAATGAAACCACGGCCATGGACAACAATCGCGAGAAGACGAAACGAATGGATGATGTGCTAGAATTCACACAGTTCGTGAGGACGGACCGTTTAAGTATCCAGGTAAGTATTATTTGAGCACTATCTCATGTGGTCTGGTAATGGGCTCAAGGTCAAAACAGGTGTATTTGTAGAATATCCCATTTATAGACCACATGACATCTTAGCTCAAGTGTAAATAAGAGATCTCTTGCACAATTTAATTGAGAAGCTGAGTGGTGCATCTATGGTACTCTATGAGAACCTTTAACACTCTTAAAGCACTTTGCACTTGCACACTAATTGATCATGGACGTAATGTTAGGTTCGACATTACTGCAGCATTTCGAAAATTGCAGAGTATGACGGATTATGCTGTCATAAAAGCGCTACAGATCTGCAGAGGTGCCACGTTCTTATTCAAAGCGCACCTACATCAAGCGTTATATGTAACAGCTTCAAAAAGGAATATCACCGACTCACAGTGACATTATTTTCTGTTTATCGAGTTAATACCCATCATGTCGGATGTAATTTGGATTTATAGTGTACGCCAGTCACAGGGGAACCATCAGGCTCCTTGCTGACCATTCACTGACTAGAAACGTCTACTCGAATCCTACGAAAATACACTACATCTTTCCAAAGAACATTTGACTGTAATCTTGTCAGATGAATGGTCATTATGCTACCCGCACCAAATTCGATCGCTCAGCGACGGCATAACATGCCCTATTTTACTACGGTGAACGCCTGAGCTGTGATATCTGATCCACTACAGATGATATGGCGCCAGAACCACTTATCTAAGAAATCTTCGCTACAGAAATGGTGAAGTCTCACTGATTATCTTCCGTTTCGAGTGCTTTCTTAAGACCACGTTCAAATCTCAACATATCTCATAACTTTTATTCGAGCCATCATGCATGTGGTCTGTCAAAGGGCTGACTTATTGAGCCCACTACACGTGTTTCGACCGACCTCGACGGTCTCATCAGTCGAGCGGTACCCTTCGCCTTTTGGCGGTCCTCTCGGGCGCTCAGTTTCCTATACTGAGAGTAGGCGACGACGAACATTTCACACCGTCCACTAAGTGAAATTGTACTGAATGAACACATGAATGTGTTGTTACACTCTATTGCTCTTGGCTGGCATCGTTAATAAATCTTCATTGAATAATTTTTGTAGAAAAACGAAAAGGGGGAAGGCAACTTGCTAATGATGTAGTGTGTCTAACATTACTCGATAATAAGTAGTGTTAATGTAATATTACCCCTTAACACGTGAATACTTGCTGCAATGACACATGTGTTCACCTGTCCATAGCAAATTTGACTATAAAAGAATGAACAGTCAACAGTTTACAATATAAGGCTGAACTAAAAATTATCGAAACGAAATTATTCGGATAACATTCTACTTAGGGTGATCAGGTGTTCAAATAGGTCGTGCCATTTCCTTTACCGCAATTATTCCTTTTTTATTTCCGAATGGTTTAGAAAAGGATTGAATAAGAAATAAAGAACTGTGAAATACGAAGCAGAAGTTCTTTTCCTCTTTGTGATTTTCGCTCACGATTGGCAATCGTTCACATTATCTCATTGGAAACTTCGGTTTTCATTGTCATCGAACAAACGGCAGTTTCCGAAGCCACTAAATGTTATTACTTCAAAATCCTAGCATTTTTACTGCTTTTTCTCAGTATTGTGATGTTGCAAATATATCCAAGAGAATTGAGATTATGATGTTACGAATATATCTAAGAGAAAGTGGTGAGCGAAAAACACGGCCTCAGGCGGGAATTGAACCGCTTTTCATCCTACCTGGGCAAGCGTGCTCTACCACTACACCACCGAAGCATATTTGCGAGATCACTCATTCTTCGGCATTTTTATGTTACTGTCAGCCACCAACCTTTAACAGGTTTGGTCGGTACGCGATTTCGCTTTATAACCCAATTGAGCTGACAACCACTGTCAGATACCTTCACGATCCTAGTATTTTTACTCCTTTTTTTACTGCTTGTTCTTGCTTCCACTCATTCTTTTGGGTATGAATGCTAATATTTTCCACTCATGTGCTGCGCTATAAGAAGCCTCAAATAGCGATGAAATATGAATTTTCTTTTCACGAGAAAAAAAAAACCGGTCGTTGGCCTCCAAACCTTTAATGTAAAAAGGTGTTGAAATACTTCTCTAGCTGAAGGTTTGATTATTGTCTTTCGATGTCAGCAGCTCTAATAAACTGCTGTAATCGATCGTCTATTTCCTTACGATTAACGATCAAGTTTCGGGTCATACCTCCATGACGTGTTCCTGGAATATTAACATTTGAGGTACATGGTATAGCGCATTAGTTACACACCGTCTTTTTTACCATATTAAAATTAGTCCAGAGGATAGAAGTATAGTAGGTTGTTCAATGTTTTTCACTCTTCATGAGATGTCGTTCACATTCGAATACCTTATGCCTCGAAGGAGCGCGCATGAAGCAGTGGACAGAGGTGCACTACACCACACACATGATCGTCAGTCCAGTCCTGCATCGCAATATCATCAAGTCTTCCATTACTCAGAAACGAGGACTAGTGCATCACTTGTTTTAGATAGTAGCAGCACTAATCGTCACATCAAAAGACCACTCCTGGTTATTGTAAAAGCCAGATATACATTTGATCTTCTCACAATTTCTAGTAAAGTTCCATACATGGCGTTTTACAGTCGCGATCATTATCGCCCATTCTCCGGTGCCATAAATAGGTTACCAACTGTTTGTTAAGCCTTGAAACTTAGGTTCATGAACTCTACGGCTTACCAGATCACTAGTCCTCATCTGATACCGCTTCATTAATCCTAGGACGTGGTTACCCGCAGATAGAGATAAAACGATCTATGTGAGTGTTCACGTGCTTCAGTCAATTGAACTCTCAAATCTTTCAATTTCGTCCTCATATGGATGCAGCCAATGCTCTGTGGGAATGTCAAGAGCAATCTTATAGATTCAATTACTGGGTCTGGACGGGCGCGGCTCTTCTTTTCTCACGCCATCGTTCTACCATATCATTGCCGAGCTGTGTACACTATGAATTTTCCAACGCTCGGCATTTCTAATACATCACAAAGTGATTGACGATGCAACTGTATTCTTCAATGTTGTCGACAAAACCTAAATTTTTCAATAATTCGTCGCTAGGTTTCATTTTCTTAATCAAGAGAATTTTTTAATAGAGCTATTTGCCTGTGTAGCTTTTGGGGCAGTCGGATGTGTCTTGCGACAAATGACGCACCCTTTTTCAGACAGAACCATATTCCGTCAAAATGTCTTGATCAGGACATTGTAACCTTCACTAGTAAAAAGGAGCTCTTTTCTTAGAGCTCAAATATATTATGGTTGATCGTTATTACACTCAAACAGCTTCTCACCATCTTCGTTCACTTTCGTGTAGCCAGCAACACTGCCATTGTCAAAGAATGTGATCAATTGAATATTACCTCTGCAAGACCTATTCAGGCCTTCGACCTTGTCTTCATGAAGGTATGATATTTGAGCATAGACATTGAAAAACTGTTAGGACTGATATTACTCCACATCTGCTCAACAGTAAATTAGTCTTTGATCCGAATCGTAAACTATACATGGAAATCGATACAACATGTTCATGACTGAGCTTGCGTTGGTTGTCTACCAACACTGTCGACTTTCATTGGTTTCCTCTTTGAAAGTCATTTATTCTACGTTGCCTTCCTGTCTCCATCAGTTTCGTGACCTTGCACTTAATCTTCACTTATTTATTTCGTATGGTGATAATCCTATTAGCGAAAAGAACTCAGGTTCTATTTCTCACATGAAAAAGCAGGGGTATCACTCCCTTATCACTCACATTTGTCATCCTCTTTTGCGACATAGACTATATTTCCATACTGTTGAACTCTCAATATTCGTTTAGATAGCTCAAATGTTGGCAGTTTTGAAAATTCGCGTGGTTTTTTGAAAAAACCTTGATTGCACTGGGAGCTGCTCGCATCGATCTAAAAGCTGCCCCAAAAGGTAGGTTCTTCTTGAATTTTAAAAGTGTTCTCTTCACTTCCGTAAAATTTTTAACTCTCTAGTATTAGAATTGCTAAAAATTTTCTTCTATCGCTTCAACAGCTTCAGCCTTCTAACCCCATTTTATATTGCAAAATAAACACGCTATACAGGTAAGGCAAATCTTAAAAGTGTGAAACGTGATTTTTTCGCCTTTCCAGCGCTTTATGAAGACTTCTCCAAAAAAGCATTCAGCTTTAGAGTCATCAGAGTTCATGCTACCAAATGCTAAGAACTGTAGGACCATCCACAAGTCCTAGCCGAGCAAAAAGTGAGCGCCGTGTGTGAAATGTGATCATATTTTCGCTTCTACAGCATTTAACGAGCTTATTCAGAACGAAAAAGCTATGGTTCTATAAATTTCGAACTTTAAAGGACCTAAGAGAATTGAGTCATGAGCAAAACTTCCATCTCAAACGGGGTCGAACCCGCGTTTTATTCATAGCAGGGACGTGTGCTACTCCTACACCACCTGCGAATCCTCGGTGTTGTAGGGGTAGCACGAGTACCCGGTATGGATGAAACGCAGGTTCGACTCCCGTCTGAGGTGGTATTTTTGCTCACCACTCAATTATCTTAGGTTATTATGAAACATCATAACACTGCGAAAAATGCAGTAAAAACACTAATTCTGAGGAAATTGAAACTATCGATGAACCATCAGAACAACGAAAAGTTAAAAGAGAACAAAAAGGTCTTATCTTTGAAAGGTTCATAAATGCGTTCCTACAAGCGAAAGCTACCAAGTTAGATAATCGTTATGCATCCAACACATTGCATTCAAAAACGTTAACAACTATTTCAGTGAAGCTGATTGTGCTTACCCAGGTTCAGGTTTGCAAAAATAAGGTCAAGAGTCCATCGCTGGAGTTGTACCACCTCTTAATTCAGCTAGGAAGTAGTCCAAACTAGAGCTTTTCGATATGAGTACACTCTGAGAATAAGAACAGCTTTTTGAAACTAATTACAGCCAAACACCTTTTTTTTGAAAAAATCTTATACATTAAAAATGATTTCGCAGTTTTTTGTGAACCAAGGACATAGTAAGAATTCACAAAATGGCATACGAAAGTGGAGTTCCGGAAAACTTTGTCAATTGTTTGGTTTTCCAGTTATGGATCATGTAGTCACGTTCTTCGTTCCACTTACTATTTGTCATCCAGTTGTCGCGAACCCAACCCTTGCCATAAAATGTAATACTTCATTATATATGTCCATATGGAACCTTTGATTAACCACTTATTCATTAGGCTTGCACGAAAAAAAATGTTTCCAAAAAAAAATTGGTACTTTTCTGTCATATGGAAGCATTTTGGCACAATTCGGTTGTCTCATGATTATTATCTGAGCCAACATGCCATGTGGTCTGTTAATGAGCTCTTGTGCAGCCCGATACACGTGTTTCGATCTTGCGATCTCGTCAGTCGGGCAGTTACCCTCTCTCGTGTTTTGCCAATCCTGTGTGGGTGCTCCAGTCCCCACACTGAGTTAGCGACGACGAACGTTTTACACTCTACGTCCAGTGAGTGTCATCGTAGCTAACTTTTAGTGGGGACTGGAACACCCACACAGGATTGGCAAAACACGAGAGAGTGTAATTGCTCGACTGACGAGATCGCAAGATCGAAACACTTGTATCGGGTTCTATAAGCCAGCCCTCTTTGATAGACCACTGACATGCGTGGCTCAGAAATAATTACCAGGCATATTGAAAGTTGAGCTGTGGTCTTAAGAAAACACTAGAGACGAAAGATTTGGTGTCTTATTCAGATCAATAAATCTAAGCATACATCTTCAATGCGGTAGAGTAGTTCGTCAATAATAATCAAAAGTAATTGACTTTTCTTCTCATACCAATACTTTTACGAACGCATGATTTATAACTCAAACAATAAAGTAAATTTGGGTATTACTTATCCAAAACACGATTAGACTGCTTTGCAATGACATCTGGTGGGACTTGATGTAAATGACAGTCGGTAATTTGCTAATCAAGCGCGATTATCCTTTCCTTAAGGTTTTGGAAAAGCTTTGTTATGGCCTTTTATTATAATCACACAACAGTTGCATCTATGTAGATTTGAAAAAGTCTAGCTGACTGTAAATTTATTGTGGTTGTGGAGGAGAGCTAAGCTAAACATGTCATACAAAACAAGAAGGGTTACTGCCCTGACTACACCTCAGTGCAACTGAGCACCCTCTCCCTCTGACTTCGCCAAATTCGTGTCAGATTGTTTTGACAATTTATACTGGGTCAATAATGTACGGCGGCGGTTTTCAAGAGAAACCGAGGAGGTTTTCTAATCTCACATTCGCTTAGTGGGTTACTCAATCTTCATTGACTTTATTGTAATGGGGTATGAGCACTAAATCATCATCGAAATTAGGATTTTTGGTTTACATAAGATACTATAGAAAATTTGCTGTAGTTTCTGCCATTTATAAGACGTCATACTTTGAGATGCCCACTCTTTTAAAAGATGACGGTTGTCCAACCTCTATTTTTCAATCCTAGCAATGGTTCCCAGTAGCGGTTACGAGTTAGAAACCAAGGTGAGTGCACTGGCCCATAAGTGAGAAAGGTGGAACAATTCGGTCAATATCTACTACGTCACTTTGTGGTCTCCTATTTTGTTACGAGTGTTCCGTTTGTAGTACTTTTAGTTTCAGATTGGCATCTAATTTCTATGCATCACTGACAGTTTTAGAAAACTTTTTCACAGAAAAGTACATTTTGAGGGCAAAAAATTCTTGCTGTCTGAGCAAACAGAAT